AAGTATATAGTATTTTTTTTCTTATTTGAGGATATTTTCTACACAGAGGTATTAGCCTTTAGGTAAAAATGCTTCTCTCCAGTCACACCTCAGGAAGAATTCTCAGACATTATTGAAAAAATTCATCCAGCCTGAAAAAATATCTGCAAGAACTTGGTCTCCTTGCTTTAGGACTTACTTTTCCCTTCCTTTCTCCCCTCCAAGCCCCTTCCAACAGATATCTACATTTTAAGTGTTTTCTAACTCATCACCACTGCTGACTACAGAAATGCATAGTATAAACAGAAAGCAGCCTTTGGCAATTCCCAGCACTCGGGTCTAACTCTATGTGCCAAGTCTCGGTTCTCCTCTGAACACAATGTCAGATATCCTGGATTGTGAGAAGTATCTCCTGTTCATAATGATCAAAGATCTGCAGAATTAATTCAACCCCCTCACCTCAGAAGAGTTTAAAGTAAAAATCCATTCAGCTGCACAAAACCCTGACTTCAACACTTCGTGCAGTGAGAACAATCGAGTATGTGTATCTCAGCTCCAAGATAAACACAGACAGTAACTATTGTTTCTGATGGGAGAAAAGATGGAAAATCACATGCTTGCATAAGATTTAATGGATCACCATTTCTGTATTAAGTTCTGTATTAAGATCAAACACAACAGCTATTTACCAGGCAACTAGAACTTACTGACAGAGAAACCAGGTTAGAACCACTTTGGACTCATTTCTGCATCTTGCTGAGCAACAGTTCTCATCCAGCAAAGCACTTAAGCAGATGCTTAACTTGGTACTCAGCAACTTGCAGGACTGAGAATAAGTGTAATACTGCAGCCTCCACAGGACAAGGAGATCTGGAAAGACTTTGTTGTACGTGTATGTTTGTTTTACAAACAAAAGAGCAGAAATATAGAGCATAAAGAATGGAGAATGAAATATTCATCTTTAATTTCCTGGTTCTTGGTCTCTAAGGAATCTGCAACTGGGGTGTTGGAACCAGGATGGTATAGGTTCCTGTCACACAGTGAGATGTAAATCCCAGTTTTCCAGAAAAGTTGGAATGTGCGAGAGTAAAATTTTATATCTGGTTACATGTTTCTTTTAAATTATAATGAAATTATTTAAAACTAGGCTCTAAGATCTCCTATGTCATTGCTTTAAATAAGGTATTACACTACTAAATCTTAGTGTTTGTTTAGTACTTGCTATTGCTATGTCAGACACTCTGCTTTCACATGCATAATGCAACAGCTACTGACCTGCACGGAAAAAACTTCTATCACCAACGTGATGAAAAGTAGGATTATTTTTGTCAGTATTACTGGTGCTGTACAAGAGGGAAAGGTTTCTATGGCAAATAAGGACTAACGTATGTGATAATCAGAAAAATACAGCAGATGCCTAGACTAATATTGACCCGTTCCATTTAATACTGGAATTAGGCTATTAAAAGGGATACTGAAATATCTGCATGCTAAGAAGTGGGGTCAAGAAGCCCATGCACTCCCTATATAAGTTCACTTAAAATTCAGAAAATACTTTAAAATATACTAAAACTGCAAATTTATTTGCAGGAATTGAGCAGTAGTGTACTTATGCCAGAACAGACAGAATTAAGAGTAGATGTGAAGCATTTCAGCTGACACATTTCTCCGAGGCTGGGATGGTATTTCTGCATCACAATGTAATTTTAAGTGACAAATTCTCCAGGTGCCAAAAACCCCCCTACAACCCAACATGGAAATCCTGATTTAGAAACTGGGTAGTGTTCTACTGGACAATGGCAAGCACAACTTTCACATCAAATTTGGGGTAAACAAGCTGTAAACTGATTGCTGCTTTCCATATTTTCTTTTAAAAAAATCTACCTTTTTAAAATACCATACTTTAAAATCAGATGAATTTTCATGAATTACTACCTTTCTGTAAAATTTTCTGATCTGCTCGTTACCTTAACTTGTAACCTTCTAAAAAAGGAATATATAGTCTGTAGTTTTAACAGAACCATCAAACAATTATCTATTTTAATTGCAATTCTTAGAATAGAATTTATAATAGTTCTTTCGATACAGCAGATAACAAACGGGCTGTATGCACTCCCTATATAACTTCACTTACAATTCTGAAAATACTTTAAAATATACTAAAACTGCAAATTTATTTGCAGGAGTTGAACAGTAGTGTACTTGTGCCAGAACAGACAGAATTAACAGTAGATGTGAAGCATTTCAGCTGACACATTTCTCCGAGGCTGGGATGGTATTTCTGCATCACAATGTAATTTTAAGTGACAAATTCTCCAAGTGCCAAAAAAACCCCTACAACCCAACCTGGAAATCCTGATTTAGGAACCAGGTAGTGTTCTACTGGACAATGGCAAGCACACCTTTCACATCAAATTTGGGGTAAACAAGCTGTAAACTGATTGCTGCTTTCCATATTTTCTTTTTAAAAATCTACCTTTTTTAATACCATACTTTAAAATTAGATGAATTTTCATGAATCACTACCTTTCTGTAAAATTTTCTGATCTGCTCGTTACCTTAACTTGTAACCTTCTAAAAAAGGCATATATTGTCCATAGTTTTAACAGAACTATCAAACAATTATCTATTTTAATTGCAACTCCTAGAATAGAATTTATAATAGCTCTTTCGATACAGCAGATAACAAACGGGCTGTGTCCCAAACCTATAGGAATTTATCACTATAGGCTCACTGACTGAAAACAAGACTTCTTTTGTGTCAACTGTATAAGGACAACTACGACAGTAACAGCATTTTATTTGAAATGGTAATGTATTGATTTTCAAGGAGCAAGCAATAGCATTTCCTGAACTAAGTACCTATTCAAGTATATAGTATTTTTTTTCTTATTTGAGGATATTTTCTACACAGAGGTATTAGCCTTTAGGTAAAAATGCTTCTCTCCAGTCACACCTCAGGAAGAATTCTCAGACATTATTGAAAAAATTCATCCAGCCTGAAAAAATATCTGCAAGAACTTGGTCTCCTTGCTTTAGGACTTACTTTTCCCTTCCTTTCTCCCCTCCAAGCCCCTTCCAACAGATATCTACATTTTAAGTGTTTTCTAACTCATCACCACTGCATAGTATAAACAGAAAGCAGCCTTTGGCAATTCCCAGCACTCAGGTCTAACTCTACTTGCCAAGTCTCGGTTCTCCTCTGAACACAATGTCAGATATGCTGGATTGTGAGAAGTATCTCCTGTTCATAATGATCAAAGATCTGCAGAATTAATTCAACCCCCTCACCTCAGAAGAGTTTAAAGTAAAAATCCATTCAGCTGCACAAACCCCTGACTTCTACACTTCGTGCAGTAAAAAGAATCGAGTATGTGTATCTCAAGTCCAAGATAAACACGGACAGTAACTATTGTTTCTGATGGGAGAAAAGATGGAAAATCACATGCTTGCATAAGATTTAATGGATCACCATTTCTGTATTAAGTTCTGTATTAAGATCAAACACAACAGCTATTTACCAGGCAACTAGAACTTACTGACAGAGAAACCAGGTTAGAACCACTTTGGACTCATTTCTGCATCTTGCTGAGCAACAGTTCTCATCCAGCAAAGCACTTAAGCAGATGCTTAACTTGGTACTCAGCAACTTGCAGGACTGAGAATAAGTGTAATACTGCAGCCTCCACAGGACAAGGAGATCTGGAAAGACTTTGTTGTACGTGTATGTTTGTTTTACAAACAAAAGAGCAGAAATATAGAGCATAAAGAATGGAGAATGAAATATTCATCTTTAATTTCCTGGTTCTTGGTCTCTAAGGAATCTGCAACTGGGGTGTTGGAACCAGGATGGTATAGGTTCCTGTCACACAGTGAGATGTAAGGATTGTAAATCCCAGTTTTCCAGAAAAGTTGGAATGTGCAAGAGTAAAATTTTATATCTGGTTACATGTTTCTTTTAAATTATAATGAAATTATTTAAAACTAGGCTCTAAGATCTCCTATGTCATTGCTTTAAATAAGGTATTACACTACTAAATCTTAGTGTTTGTTTAGTACTTGCTATTGCTATGTCAGACACTCTGCTTTCACATGCATAATGCAACAGCTACTGACCTGCATGGAAAAAACTTCTATCACCAATGTGATGAAAAGTAGGATTATTTTTGTCAGTATTACTGGTGCTGTACAAGAGGGAAAGGTTTCTATGGCAAATAAGGACTAACGTATGTGATAATCAGAAAAATACAGCAGATGCCTAGACTAATATTGACCCGTTCCATTTAATACTGGAATTAGGCTATTAAAAGGGATACTGAAATATCTGCATGCTAAGAAGTGGGGTCAAGAAGCTGTACTAAGAGACAGTCAAAACTGACTACAGTAATATTTTTTTTCTTTTTAGTAAATACAAGCAGGCTCATTAGATTATCACTATCTAAGGGCATACACAAATATCCACAAACATAACTTTTCAGTCAGTCTCCTCCAAAAAACATGCTCAAAGGAGCAAAAGATTTTCCTAAAGCACTGTTAGTTGCAATTGAGCCAGATTCCTGACCCCAGCAGTATTTCTCAGAACTACATGGAGACTATATGGATACTTATGAGAGTGCCACATCAGGAGAGAAGATACAATCCATTTATCATGGTGTTCTTCAGATCTGTGCTACAAATGTGTAAAGAAGAGCTTTACAATGAAACTTCACGTAAAGGCAACTCAAAAGTTTTGAAACTAGCCTTACTTAACAGTTCCTCTTAATCACAGTTTTAATTAATGGCAAATAGATTATAATTCCTACTTCTTCCTCTCCCGTGCTTAACTCTGTGTGAATAAATTAAATAAGTCCAGCATTTCTGTGGCATCTCTTATAAGCTATTATAGAGTTTATGGAGTAGGATCTCTCAGAGGGGAGTCACATGCACATACAAGACCTGTGCAGTTCAGAAAAGGAAGAGGGAATCTTAATAGTCAGGAGAGAAATCTATCAAATAAAACAAGCCAGGTGTTCTTGACGTACCATTGACTAAGCTGGCATTTGCATTATCAGTGGCATTTGCACCTGCTGCACCATCTGTAGCTGAAGGAGGGTGGGAGGAGGGATGGGAAGAATCTACTGAGTAATAATGGATAAAAGAAACAATAAATCATAATAATAATAACAACATGAACAAATGCACATGACAAAACAAAAAACATTTATGGAATACTATGACTTCGCTTTCTCCAAAATTAATATGGTTTAAATTAATTAACATAACTTTCAAAAGCAAAATGTAATTACAAAGGTGTTACAAAGTAAGGCAAAAACTCACACATGAAATAATAATAATAATAATAATAATAAAATAAATAAATATGAAAAACATTTAACAAAGTTAAGAAGTTGGTGAGAACTGACTGTGCACAGTACTATGTTTGGTCCTTTAATGTGTAATTTACTTTAATTAGTGTTATGCAAATATTAAAATGGTTGAAATACTTCCTTTGAGTTAATGAATTTATTCAATGCATGGGTAGTTTTAAAAAAATGCAGCATATTACGTAGTATATGCAGTACATATTTTGTATTTTATCTGATATTGCATATCATGATGTATCATTGCTGATACAGCCCAGCATAACATGGGCTTAATCTCTGGCCTGCCACAGCCTAGTTAATATGCACATTGATCTGAGTAGAAACATTCAACTTTTCAATATTGTATGTGGAAATGTAGAAGAAATACAGAATCTTGGCAAATTTAATCTTGAGGAGAACAATGAGTTGTTTTAAATCCAAATAATAGACATTATGTAACGGCCTGTTTTGTGGTAAAATGGAAAAGGCATCAGAAAAGAAAATCCTCTTTTTTGTGTTCAGCAATTAACTGTGTATGAGGGAAATTGGTCAAGCAACCTTTCCTAACAGGAAGGTGAAAAACTCAGAGGTTTTATTATTTTATTATTATGTTTTTATACTGAAGCACAGAAAATTAGTCTCTGCAAGTAACAGATAAAATAAGTTTTGTTTTGTTTCTGTTGGTTAATTGTTCCTAATAGAAGACAGAAGTCCTATAATGAATCCCCATGGAGACTCTCTCACTTCCGCGGTACTTGACCCGCAGTGACTATTTCACACTGTACTGGTTTGTATTTCAAGAAAAATGGTCTTTCTTTATTTAAAAATGGTAAATTGGGAGAAGAAAATAAACAGCACACAGGACTTAAAAACACACTCTGTGAAACTGCATTCATGAAAATTTCAATTGCAAATTTGATTACTGTGATGGTAATAACTTAAACTGTTTTGGTTATTCATGCTTATTTTTTATTCCATTTGGATACTCATACTAACCAGCACAGCATGAACCGCTAACAGCAAATCATGCATTTCAACATTTAATATACTGTAATTTACTTCTGGAGAATAACTGATTATTCAAGCTGAACATTAGATTTGCAGCACCAACAACATGCGCACACTTCAATGTTTGCCACGAACAATCCTGTCGATTTGAAATTATTCTTTAATTTAACCGGACTGATTCAAAGACAATTACTTTAATCATTAGTTCGACCCTGATTTGCACCAAAGCTTGCTGGCTAAAAGCCTCATCCTTTCAGCTGACGTGGTACAGTTCTTACTCTACCTGGAAGCTGATGTCCATCCTCCTGTTTCACACCTGTATGATGATTTTTACAAAATGTTAATGAACGATAAAAGCATACACCCACCTAAGACTGAAACAAACATTTGTGACTGGCAGGAGTTTGAGAATCAGAGGGTTGTAAATGAGAGTGTGTCATCTGAGCCTGGGCCCAGGGACTCCTCTGCACTGGCACAAAGCTGCAGGCAGTGGTGGAAAATGTGAAGGGATTTTCTTGGTGTTGTAGCTACAGCCAGTTAGATCCAGTGTCTGCACAAATCTCTTAGTGACACCTAGGTTAGACTCTAGGATGCCATGCAAAACCAGTCTGACATGAAAGGGTTTTAACTTTGAGAAGTTTCAGTCTTTCTCCTTTTAATGGCCCTAGGACTTACCATGCCTAGCAGGGAAAATGAACTGGTAAACATTTCTTAAAGTCTTTCATCAAGTAAAAAGGGATTTCCTCAGAGAAGCATGGAGTCAAGTGCAACCACTTGGTGAACATATTTAGAAATGGAAATTAAAGGTCATGAAAACCATTTGACTTTGGCCTTCCTGTCTCCTGCTTCAAATTAAAAAGGATGGAAATGAAAAAAAGGCAGAATCACACTGCCTGACAGATACTAAATAAAATGTTCTGTAAACCTATAATTACTCTTTTTTACTAATAGTAAAAACAACTAGAAAGAGTGGAAATGTCTAAAAAAAACCCCCGTATTAATTGGCCCTTGATTATGTCTGAAAGATAAACATTCTACAACAAACTTGGAACAAAATTCTGAAAGCAGACTTGAACAATTTACAAGACCATATGAACAAAAGCTGGAAAGGACACACATTAAATCATGTTTCTCTTAGTGCGCAACCCATAAATTAGCAATTGCTTATGACATCACACTAAAATAAGGTGAAAAGTCTAAAGAGACTTCTTGATTTCATTAACTGATACAGGACATCAAAGTTAAACCCTCTGGTTCATTTACTGCTACTTTCTTCTCTCCTACTATTTTTAGTCTGACCTTTCCTCCTTAAGAAATTCAAAAGCCTCTCCAGTCAGTCACTGACATTAAACAACTAGGCTAGCAAAAAGCCACAGCTTATCTTCATTTTATTTTTGAAGTTCAAAGAAAGACGTTATTTCCATGGCCAAGGTTTGTGGTTTTTTTTTTCTGAAAAAAATATCACGTAGATGTAAATGCACAATAGCAAAACCTCAGCAAATTTTAGGTGAGCATGGATTTATGTAAAGAAGGCACGGCAATGGGAGCATGCCCGTGTATTCTCTTGCATTTAATTATGTACTGAGAGGCTGCAATTTCACACTGGAAAAACATCTTGTTACCCAATGTATTTATTGGTTAACAGCTTTTGCTGTTTTTCTGTGTGATATGTAATGATAAAAATGTATACAAAAAAAAGAAGTTTTTAAAATTGTATTTATTTGTCAAGAGTGGAGGAGAGCTCTGGCTACACAGAGCCCAAGAGCCTTCTTCGGAGCGTCCATGTGTGCTGTGAAATTTACCTTTCTTATCTTTCTTTTCTTCTTCTTCTCCTCCAGCGCCCAGCAGAGTAAAGATGATGCCTGTCTGAGAATTCACACCCACAGCAGTTACAAGCATCCGTCCAGAGCCCTCCATGACGTGAGTACCTGAAAGTACACAATACAGGTTATATATTGCTAAAAAATAAAAAGAACAACCATTAAACATTTTATGTGAGACCTCTACTATAATACTGAGAGAGATTTGTTACACTTTAAAAATCTGCATTAAGGCCAATATAATTACATACTAAAACCAATCCCTAGTGTTGTATATTATTCCCAACGAAGAATGGATGCTTAATTGCAAATCTTGGGCTGCACACCTATTAACCACACACATCAGAAATGTCATCACTAACCAAGTTGACATGATCTTGGAAGATAATAGTTTAGCTTCACACTGATAATTCTTGTAACTTTGAAAATATTTTTTCAGAGTTCTGCAAATATTCCTCTGTGACTGTAGTCAAGACTGCACCTACTGTACATGGAAATTAAGTGAAAATATGTGTGCAATTTCTCTTGTCTTTTGTAGTTACGGTTGATTTACAGGCATAGAAGAAGATATTTTTGAGGACAATTTCACATATTCAAACTTGAAAAATCAATACAGAGAAAAATCTTCAAGGGGATGTTTAATTAAATCAAGAGACTCCCAAATAGCAAGAAGAACCTGATGTACACTTGAAAGCAAATTCTGTATGTACACAGATGTCTATTACTCTAAAACAAAACGTACATTAAGTTGTTCAGAGAAGGATTGTTTAACTAGGTAATTATATCATTAGATAGGTAAATTGCTTTTAAGAAATATTTAATGCTTCATTGTATAGAAGTTATTAATTTACAGCTCTTATTCCTATATTGGAGAAAGCATTTTTTCTCTTCTTTTGAAGCCATGTGTTGGTTTAACTCACTAAACAATTTAACCTTTGTGGTAATAGACTGATCATACTGCTTATGACACTCACCTTAATCTCTACCTTGTCACTGCAGTATTTGTGAGAGACCACTGGCCTTTGCTGTGTTTAATCTACTATCCCTTAGATCCTCACAGACCACTGGTCTTTGTGTTTAATCTACTATCCCTTAGATCCTCACTTCACCTCACAAGTCACACTGTACTGCTTCGCAGCTCCCACGTTTGCCATAAGTGCAAGGTTCCCCATTTACTTTCCTTAAGACAACATCACTCTTTCATTCATTCCATAACAGTATGAATTAGGTAGAGTCATTAACTGACTTTTCCTAAACAGTGAGGCTAATGAGGCAAAAATACTTGTATGCTTATTCTCAACTACCTTGTCCCTATCACTTACCCATTCCCATCATTAATTACGATTCAATATCTTAAAACTCAAGTGAAGTCCTCACTGATGCTGGAGCTCTGAGATGTACCTCAGCAGGGCACGCCTGAAGCCACAGCAGAAAATAAAAGAAATCTTCTAACAACCTTTCTGCAAACTCCTGCATAGTGGCTTTTAACCAACTGAATAATGAACCTGTTACACCGTGCAAATTGTGAATATAATTAATTTCATGGAGAGTCTTACTGGGCATTCAGATCTATTAAACCTGAATGCCCATAGAAAGATTCTTTCTCCCCTCCCTTTTTAAAAAACATTTTACTGGGTTCATCCTCATCTACATATATTAATTTCACTGAGTTATCTCAAAAGCTGAAAAAAGGTATACATATGTCCTTAAATAGATAATTATTTCTATACATATGCATACAGTTGCAACCCATTTTTTAAAAAATTCCATTTTCTTATTACTGCTCATCCAGTTCCTGTCCTAGAACATACTAAGCAATGCAACTATGTATTTATAATCAAAATATCTTTCTCTAAATAATCAAAATCTCTCATGTTCTTAAAATGAAAACAGAAACACAGAACAGAGAACATCTGTCAACACTAAACCTAATTTAACGGCATAAATATCTCACCAGAACACTACGAAAATTTCAGCACAAATAACCCAAATAATAGCAAAAACACACTAATGGTCAGATTTTATTATTTTTTTTTAAAAAAGCAGCACACCTCTTCAGTGCATTGAGAACTGTTCCTATGGCTGAGATAAGATTTGATGCCTTAAGAAGTTATTTTCTTTCTTTCATATGATAGAGCGAAACGTCACAAACACACAAATTAGGAGCACAACCCAAACAACACAAAACAAGTTGCAATCAATCCTAAAGGAATAGAAAAGATCTTTAAAAAACAGACTAGCCTTGGTTGTATTGGATCAGACAAAGCAGCAAATGTATGAAACTTAACTCAGAAATTTAGAGGAACTTCCTTTAAGATGTAACACAATTTAAAATATATTTTAATTAAGAACTTGCTTTTAGTATTCCTATGCTTTGTGTTGAATGAATGTTCTTCTGTGTTGGACTACAAAGGGAGTTAGAAATATCCTCCAAAAAGTGGTGGGTGCCCCTGTGTGTCAAAGCCAGCTTTATTACAAAAAAATCTGCCCCCACCGGATTTCTAGGTTACCTCTGCACATCCGGAGAGGGCAAAAATGTCGTAACTTGAAATACCTTCCTGAACCTTTTCTTGACATTAGTCTTGTAAAACATAATTCCAAACTGTTCAGGTGCGTACCAAAGCATGTTTTAGGTCAGGTACTAATTTATCAGCAGATGATGTTCTGCTAGTACTGCTGGAAAAATTCTTCAGCATCTAAGCTAAACCAAAGAGCTCAACCTCCTGCCACCTAACTCCAGGAATTTCACCATTTAAACATTATTATAATTACATTAGCTTGAATAAAGAAATGGACTCTCTGACTTCAATCAACTGTTGTTATAGAAATGGAATTCTGGAACGATTGCATGTTTTTTCACTGGATTTGAACACTAAGCCTGTATTTCAGCTTCACCTTGAACAATTCTACTGACTTCTCTTCCTCTCCAGACTAATTCTTCAGTATTAGTTAAATACATTTTTTCACACTCTGAGAATTTAATTTGAAGTTGATAAATGGTGAATACTCCAAGATAGAAAAGGAAGTCTAGTTTAGTAAGAAAAGTATCTATTTTCTTATAAGCAGATTAGACAGATAAGGGACCTATTACAGCACATACTTTTGCAGGCACAATGCAATTATACACAAGACTGCTCAGAACCCCCCAAATCCAACAATAGTACTGGTGAAACAGAGTGGAAATAGGGCTGAAAACCAAGAAAAGAAAACCAGACGTGCCAGTCTGGGGGGTTTGTGCTGCTTTGCTACTTTCAGCAAACTTGGGGCGAACAAAAATTCTCTGTCTGTGTATCTACGCAACTGGTTTAGTCACTGCAATTATTAAGAGAAGACTGAAGTTAATAATAAAGCATATTTCAGCATAACCAAATGATTTGGAACATTTGAAGTTAGCTACTCTGTTCTGAAAATTTCTGCTGTACTAGGAGCCTTGCTTGGAGTAGTTCCTGGCAGAGAATTAAGACAGAATCAGAACTATTTTTCTCCAGGCAATAACTGACCCGATTCCTTAATCAAGCTTCCTTTTTATTTCCAAAACCTAACAAAGTGTCATGACCAAGAGATTTCTTTTGTTTATTTTTCTTGAGTAAGCTCTGTCCTCTTCGTTTCAAATCCTTGTTGCGCATTGATAGAAACACTCAAATGTAAAAGTTATGTTAGGACAAAGTCATGTCCTGTCAGTCTCAGCTCAGTGAGAATTACACTAGGAGAGCTCCTCTACATAAATCTCTCATACCTTGATCAAATTAATCTAAATACCTGGGAAAAAAGTTTTAAGCAGTAAGTCTCATAAGGTATTTTTCACAATGATAATAATTATCACATGGTACCCCAAAATACTTCACTGTGTGCAATGCTGAGACCAGACTCATATTCAAAATTTCTATATTCAAGAGTCAGGGATTTCTCTGAACTTTGAACTACACAAAACTTAAAGGGCACATCAGCTTCAATCAAGACCACTGAGTAGCAGTCAGTGTGACCCAGGCTGTCCTCATCTGCTGGTTGATACATGCTCATCCTCATAGCAAAGAAATGGTTTATGCTACTCTATAAATGCAGATCTCGGTTAATGAACCACAAGAAATAAAATACTTCAGACAGAAGTATAGTGGTACTACAGAAGAGATGCTGCTTCCTTTGGTTTCAGGTATATCAGAGTCTGGATTTCCATTTCTGCCTTCCTAGGTGGTACCAAATGTGCTACATGGAGATGGAAATGAACCATCTGGTTTAGTCAGCGCTTGTACCCTTTAGAATTGCTTCTCAAGTACAGTAAATTACTATCTGGATGATTAAACAGGACATTAAGCACAGAAACTCATTTAGTTTAATTATGTCATTGAAACTGATCAAATATTAAAACCGTTGTTTCAGGTGCCAATGGTGAAAATAATGCTTCCTGATTCAGGGTGTTTATCTTTCACCAAATTTAGACTCACAAAACAAACTGTGGCTGTAATTCAAATGCCACCCTTTTTCAGTTACTCCTCTGTCAAATGTAGAATGTTTTAATTTTCAACAGATGATTACAAGCAAACAGTGGCAAGCAACATCCTGACAGTATTTGCCTAAATTCCTAAGGCCCACCTGGAGATAACCTACTGCTGGCTCCAGGTGCAAAGATAAGAGGAAAATTTAAGATCTGTTTGCTGGTTTTGTGGAGGGTTGGTTTGTTGTTTATTTTTCCTTAAGCAATTCCTATAAAAATCTAGGTCTAGGCTAACATCCAACAGGTTCTCAGATTTTAAACCAGGTCATACCCACCCTGAAAAATATAGTGGTTTCCAAATGTTTGGGTTTTGGACTACTAACAATTTACAGTGAGCACATCAGCTCCCACATCAGTGTGATTACACCTTGCACTTTACCTATGGAAGAAGGTAGTTTTTGCATGGTAGAATTTCAGATCATCAACTCTGCTCCTGAGCAATTAGAGTTCAGGGACTTTCTAACATGGTACAAGTAGAAATTTATTAGTATAAGTATGAAAAAAAGGTGCGTGCAGTGCTTGTTAAAATATCACATTATTCAACTCTTCTCCTGAGCAACTAGAGTTCAGGGACTTTCTAACTTGTACGAGTAGAAATTTATTAGTATAAGTATGAAAAAAAGGTGCGTGCAGTGCTTGTTAAAATATCACATTAATTCTTCACCTTCTTTGTAATCACAATAGAGATTATATAGTCATAGAGAAAAATAAAGAGCACAAACTTCAATTCTGCAATAAAAACATGAAGACAAATTTTTGTCCTTATACCTAAGAAATTTGAGTTTTGGGAAGCAAGACAAAAACATCTTTTCTCCTAACTCAACTGCTCTCCCTTTCTCTTCCCATGATGCCTTCCAGGGCAATACCTTCATGATTTTCACGGCCACCACTGAAATCTATGGGTATTCAACAAGATCAAATTCAATCGAGGAATGTGTGAGAGCACAAGAACCAATCAGAACTTCATAATCAGAAAACCTCTGGAATTCACCTTTTCTCCTGACTCAACTGTCCTCCCTTTCTCTTCCCATGATGGAAATACCTTCATGATTTTCACAGCCACCACTGAAATCTATGGGTATTCAAAAAGATCAAATTCAATCCAGGAATGTGTGAGAGCACAAGAACCAATTGAAACTTCATAATCAGAAAACCTCTGGAATTCAACAACAGGGTATGTTAATTGCTAGAAGTCTATGATATTTCATGATAGCAGTTTCTGTAAGAATATATCATTATTAAAACTATCTCTTTAAAATGAAAATTTTATGCCAGTTATGATGTTATATTTACAAAACAGCACAACTATCAGCTAAGAAAAAAACCCATGGAAAAAGAATGCACAAGTATTTCAAGGCCAACATTGGGTTACAGCTTTTGTTAGGTGTGGAAAAAGAATGCACAAGGCCAACATTGGGTTACAGCTTTTGTTAGGAGCAGTCACAGTGAGCCCTTCCTCAGAACATCACTGCAGGCTCCCTCTTACACACGAGCCACCCTTCCTCAGAACATCACTGCAGGCTCCCTCTTACACACCGGGGAGCGTCCGCAAGAGAATTCTTAATCCACAATCAAGTTAAGCCTAAACATCTGCACTACCAGGATAAATCAAATTATTATAAAACTAACAAAAATATCAGTCAGTGGCTTCATACACTTCTCATCTCAGTCAGAAAATTTTTAAAGTTACCATACAAGGTATGAAGGAGCCTGTAGGACACCAAGAATTCAAAGTGGCACTGTCCCCACTGTTTGGCATTTCTGGATATGCGCTGCCTGCAAACACTGAGCTCTTGATTCCATTTTCTCTGCACAAATGCAGCCTTCAGAATTTGCAGCTACTTCATTAATCTTTATTAACCCCTACTGAACACCTACAAACACATTTTTCAGACTTTTCTAACTTGGACAAACTTGGAGTTTAACAACATGAACAGCAAAAGGCATACACTTGGCAGGGACACTGCAGCAAAAACTTTTAACAAATGAAAACCAGAATACTTTTAAAGAAACCAAAGGAATTTTTTTTTTTCCTAAAAGAGCAAAAGAAATTTGCTTTGCTGCTTTGTCAGAAGTGATAAAAATTCTTTGTGTCATTTGAAAAAAATCCTTTTAATACACAGTTTCAGGCAGAAAGATGTTTGAAGCTTGATAAAGTTAAAATTAATTAACAGGGACTTTTGTAAAATGAAGTCTGTGGCAATGGCAAGTCCACAAATAACATTAGCAATTTTTTCATCTTAAGTTGAAACAGCCACATTTGACTCAAATTTGATGGCTTTTTATCAGACCACAGTCCCATGATTTACATAATAAACAGCCATAATTTCATAGTTAGCAAACTAATTATCTGATTTTAAATTTGGAAAGGATTTGCACTGTTAATTCAATAAAAAATTGTCACATCCTTACTTGCTGCTACTTGTCTCTTCTGAACAAAAGCATCTCCCAGCAGCTGTTGCTTGGGAAACACCAGTTCAGTGAGGCAGGATGGGGGCAGGAGGCTGCAGGCAAGTGTCCTGATTGCAACAGAGATGTTCCAGCTGGGAGGACTTTGGCTGACTGTACAGCCAGACAGCGAGGAGAATCCTGACACAGAACCACAGAATGATATGGGGTTGGAAGGGACCTCTGGAGATCATCTAGTCCAACCACCCTGCCAGAGCAGGTCCACCCAGAGCAGGCTGCACAGGAACGTGTCCAGGCGGGGTTTGAATGTCTCCAGAGATGGAGACTCCACCCACAAATGAAAAGACTCCGCCATGAATAAAAAGTTTGAATGTATTTGAAAATGACTGTTTCAGTTTATAACACATTGCTGAGTGTTATGAGATCAGCGGGTTGTTCTTTTGTGATCACATCCCAGCTGGAATCTATTCACAATTGACCTATTTAAAAAACTACCTTTATTAAAATTTTAAAAATCACATTCTACTTCACTGATTTACTATATAGAATTATATTGCAAAATACAAATATTACAAGTAACTTGAATTTGCCACAGAAGTGAACCCCACAATATTTTAGTATATCCAAAGCACGTTGTTTCTTTTTCTATTGTATCTAGTATACACACAAAGAAAGTGTTTAAAGAGACCACAAAAGGCTTGGAAATTTGATGGTTAAATTAAAACTAGCATACAATGAATGGAAACAACTGTTATTTCCCTGAGTGATACTTTCCCTAATATAATGATCAGAAACAATCACACACAAAATCAAAAACCAATAGGATCTCTTTTGCACGACCAACAGCCAAGGTCAGTGTCTGTGTTCAACAGATCAGTGGTACCTAGGTTTTGTGGAAAACCAAAACAAATCAAACCAACAGGTGAACAAAGCAGTGCATAAAAGATAACTCAGCAAGAATTCAGGCAGATTTACCTGACAGGAGCATTGGGTCTTTGTCAACAGATTTGCGGACTTGGTCTGACTCTCCGGTTAAAGAGCTTTCATCAATTTTAAGATCATTTCCTTGAATAAATATCCCATCGGCAGGTAGAAGGTCACCTTTTAGCAAGAACATGGTAATGGAAAACCACAGTGGTTTAGTAAGATTGTTTATGTAATTACATAATGATTTTTATTATAAAGTCACAATTAACATCAATTGCATTAAAATGTAAAATGAAAGCAAAAGTGAAGGAATTACTACCATATCAGTCCATATTAGCCACATTATCACAATCCTATAGGGAAGGGCCTTTGAATTGCACATATTTTTTGCCCAGTGCTATCCCCAAATCAGAATGCATCACATTTAGCAAATGAAGAACATAATAATCACTGAGCTTTGGCAGAGGGAGTGCTCTTCTTAACATGACATGAAGGTCTCTGTATCTGACCTCAGAGGAATCAGCAGTGGCTAACGAACAGTCGAGCTGCCCTTTCCCCTTCCCCTCTGAGGAAGCCCTTAGCTAAGTCCAGGAGAGACTTGATGGTTGAGAGAACAGGCATTTTGCTGGCATTTGCCAGTTCAGTCAAACACAGAGCACACGAGGTTCCTGCAAAGGTCTTCCTGCTCACTGGAGCACAGGGCTTTCCCTACGGCATACGCTCATAAGGCATCCACCTCCTAGAAGCACCTGATCTGGGGGAACTTATAGGATCCATAGCTCTGGAGCAGCCTCCCAGAGGAGCACAGAGGCAGAATTCCCTTTCACAGAGCATTTAAAAATATTTTCTCTTATTCCTAACTGGAAAGAAACCAAGAATTCCAAATAGTGTAATCGCCCATGAAAGAGCATTACCTCTGCAGAAACATTTCTTGTCCTTGTCAGTGGAAGGACGTGAAGATTACACAACTAAATTACCTAGTGCAATTTCATAGCAAGGTTTTCCTTTTGCCCTAACAGCCAAATTGTTATCTTACTGTGGACAATAATGACACGACATAATTCTCTGTCTTTTAAATCACTTCCAGGGAAGTGAGATTATTCTGCCAGAAAGGGAAAGGAGAAGAAATAAAGTTCAGAAAAGTAATCATCTAATTGTCGAAACTTACCATATTTCACCTGTGCAATGTCACCAACTACTATCTCTGCCACTGGGATCTGGATAACCTGTCCACCTCGCACAACAGTAAACTTCTGTTCCTGCTCAATACGACTTTGAAGCCCCCGGAACTGCTTCTCCTTGCTCCAGTCATTGAAGGCAGTGACGAGCACGACACAGATAACGGAGAGCAGGATGGCAGCACCTTCAATCCAGCCAGCTTCAGCCTCCCCTTCATCTTCAGCTCCTCCTGCTGCAGTACCACATCCTGCAAAGGCAACGTTAAGAAACCATTCAGTCAAGCGAAGATCGGGTTTATCGTTTTTATCTCAAGAAGAAAAACTTGCTGTGAAATCACAACCAGGCTGAGGAATAGAATTGCTGTTGAAAGTACTAAACGAAAGTGCTAAATGAAACATGGTGGGATAGAGAAAACGTAGAAATAGAGGTTTCTGAGGAAAAGAGAAAGAAAACAAATCAATAGCAATTCTAGAGCTTTTAATTTTTCTTCTGACCCTTGGTAAGCCCAAACTAAACAAGTGGGAAAAGGCAGCACCAATTGTGTTATCCAGCAGAGGGTTGGTAGCTTCACCTGAGCCATCGAGCATTTCCAGAAATGAGGTGGACATACTAAGAGTGGTGAGAGGGACTAAAACAATGAGTAACGTAACTGAAAGCAATGACATTTAATTAAGATTAAAGAAAACAGATTAAAGCCAATTTAAGAACTATTTTTCAATACAACTTCTAAATGTTCTCAACTAAACACACTTAAAAGGAACACTTGTTTAAAAATTACGGAGATGAACTCAGTATTTAAATGTGATATCTAAGTATTTAAATGAGATAATGAAATGTATCAGGGAACACTGAGTAAAAATAATAGCCTAATACTAATTCATCATTCTTCCTTACACAGCAATATAGTGGCATGCTTATACAACTGTAAGTATATTATTTTTGTCACAAGTAAAACAATAGTAAAAAATACATTCTATGTACTAATTCTGAAATGTTAATTCTGAATTGTTTTATATACATCTGCTAATTATTTCAAAGTCATACGCAACTAAAACATAAAAAAAATTCTTAGATAGTATTAATGAAATAAAACCAATATAGTCCTCCTCCTTAATGAAATGATACCTAAAAGAAGACAGTTTATAATAGTGGACAGAAAAATACACATAGAATCACACAATTCAGAGATATCCCAAACGACAGGAGAGAAAAAAAGAACTCATGCTGAACAAAGGAGCCTCCTCTCCCGAGTGACCAAGGCAGAAAATAATCTTTTAATTTTTCATGAAGAGCTGAACTAGGTAAGCATTTGACATCACTTTTCCATCTTACCCAGGTACCAGGGACTTTAGCACCTTAGCAACCGTGTTGCTTCCATATATGACTGAAGGTTAATTTTGGTATATTCGTCACCTGTCACTAGAGGGAATAAACAAGCAATTTGATTTCTATTTTTAAGTTACAAAGATTTCCCTGTAACATAAGCATCATAATTAATTAACCAGCTGAGTAATTACTCTTGCATATGAACTGTAAAAAAATTACCAAAAGTAAAGGAAGAAAAATAAGACTGGGCGTCCACAAGGTGAGCAGAAGAAAATGAAAATAATCGAAGTTTTTACCAATGTTCTCTGTAGTTTAAATTTAGCCTTAACCTAATTGAAAGGCAAAGCTCACTCCCAGGAGAAGGGGGTTTCCTGGCAGGGATGCCCTTAGACTGATGACCTGTGTGAACCTTTAGCAGCCCTACAAGAATCTTATTAAAGAAACCATTTTTATAGCACCCAAGGAAGAAATAAAGTCACCTTTACTAAGTTAGTACTTTAAGCTACTTAAAACCAGTTGCAAACGCAACTTAAAAACCACAACTGCAATTTCTTCCTTCTGCAGAACATTACTTTGTGGAAGGACTCATGAACTTTGCTCTGTTTAACCTTAATCATCTTAATTGGTCTACGTTAGATTTTTAGATTCCTTTTCCAAATCAGTAGATTGACTTTGTCCTTTATTATAAGGATCCCATTATGGCTCTGGACACATGTAAACTTTATAGTTTTATTAGATGAGTAGAATATCCTCTCTCTACAGCAGAAAGCTACCAGTTTTGAGAAACTTACTGCTGTTCTTCTGAAGAACCAATAGGTCTGGTCACCGTCTCTGAGATGTGTCGGAGAAAAAAAAACCCCAACAGCCAGTCAATGCACTTGAACCCAGTGCTAACAAACTGCACCCTGAATGGCTGGCACAGCAATATCTCTGTGTCCCCACAGGAAAAAAAACCAACAACTCCTTGATTCAGTAAAAACAGGTAAAAAGTAAAAATATTCATTGACTTGGGTACTGAAATTAATTTCCTATGTCTGTGTTGTCATAACTCATCTCCATGTTAATACAACCAACGCCATTCCTAGTATGTTTATACAACCAGAAAAAATAGTCTAACACAGCATGTAAATAATACAAGATGTTATCATTAAGATGAAAGGAATTGTGTTTACCTGTCTCACAGATTATATACAAGGCAAAGAACATAATTCCCTCGTCATATTACAAGTGAAAAAAAAATGTTAGTAAGAACAAAAGAAAATCCATACAAGCAAAGAACATAATTCCCTCTTCATATTACAACTGAGAAAAAAATGTTAGTAAGAACAAAAGAAAATCTGGATAAAACAGACTAAACTTAGATCTAGCTCTTGGAAAGTGTCGCTAAATTTGACACGTTCTTTTTTTTCCCCTCTCTCAAAGGACCAGAACTCAGGACCACAATCAGCTCTTGCAAAGTGTCGCTAAATTTGACATGTTCTTTTTTTTCCCTCTCAAAGGACCAGAACTCAGGACCACAATTTTGAAGACCACAAAAGGGTTGATATTACACAATGGGAACCTCGGTCACCACTTTGCAGATCCCCAGCCCGCAGGCTGTCCTCTCCTAGGCACCATGAACACCGAAGACCACAAAAAGGTTGATATTACACAATGGGAACCTCAGTCACCACTTTGCAGATCTACCAGCCTGCAGGCTGTCCTCTCCTAGGCACCATGAACACGTCTTCCTATCTGTTCTAGCCAATTCCCTTATTTAATCCCACGTCACATGAATGCAAGTCCTAAATTATCAGAAAAAAAACCCAGTGCTTCATTATCAGTATGTCTCAGGTTAGGAGGAAGCACAATTTCAGCTGTGGAAGGAGTTTGAACAAGGTAAGTCCAAGTTCAAGCAGTGGCTGAGCAAGGCTTTTGAATATCTGCGATTTGCAGGTAGATACTCGTAACAACAGTTAAAAAATGAAATTGCACTTTTTGTGGATCTTGCCGAATGCAACTAAAACCAGGCTCTGTAAATATTAACCAAGCTGATCATAAGACTTCCCCAGTATTTTGTCTTTGTTCTTTACAGTCCCACAGAAATGAAATGCTACAGAAGTGCTAGATAAACTCATGCAAAATGTACACATCATTCTTGTTACAGGAATAAACTCCAGCAACTTTGACGAAGTAAATAACTGTCCAGTTCTTACAACAGTAAGGTTTCGGAACAGTTGGGTTTTTTTTTAAGCAGAGATTTACAGACAAGCTGGATTTTAAAATTCACCCTGCCCTTCGTGAGATGACCTACGTGCCAGGAAACATTTTCTTGAACTATGTCGTGTTCTTGCTTCAAAACTATTTTAGAAGTATTCCCTTTTCATAGGAAAAATAAAAAAAAAAGGAGACCTGCACCTCCATTGCATTAAGCTGCAGAATTTCTTCTTTTATACTTAGGGAAAAACAATTTCTTTTCGTTTTTTTCTGCCATTATATCACACGAGGTTTTCTAGAAATTCTACATAAAGACTTATGTGAATTTATAGGAAGAAACTGTATGTATTCATAGGAGAGAAAAAAATCCCATACTTCTTAACTATACACTTATACTATCTGTCCTCCTTATTATAGCACAGAGTGACACAGAGTATTGAATTTCTAGACAAGGGGAAAATAAGGAATATAAATAAGACATCAAGACATAATAATAATATGTCTAAGTATCAGAATATAGTTTAAGTCATCTAATGTTTATAAAGAATGCTCACATAAGCTTTAAAATTGCATTAAGGTTTAAGACTCCTGTTCTGCTTTCACAAGACAGGACTTGGTTCCCACCATTACCAAACAATGTATCTGAGATTTTATTGAAAGGCAGAGACTGAAAACATCACAAAAGAATTTTTCATATGCATGTGATTTGTAGTAGGGTTTTATTCCAAGACAGTGATTTGTGAAGTCCTCATTTAAAATTATATTTAACATAGCACCTATCTGTCAGAAAATTCAATTTCAATAAAGTAAACAAGTTTTTAATATGAAGCTATTTTCTACCCTAACTATGAACATATGCCACGTGTGTGTCATTCCCCAAAGTCTCATCCTCATGAGACAGAAAATGCATACTCAGTTTGAAACTGAGATTATAAAGATTTGACTGCAAGTCAAGAATGTAAAGGGCTGTAACTCCTCTGGCACAGAAAAAGCAGTTGAAGTCATAAAATGGATCAGGTTGTTCAGAAGGAGCGTGCAGGACCATACAGGTGAGCCAACCCCCCCAGAGGAGTGGGAGCACCTGAAGGTGCAGCCTCGATGAACACTCAGAAATACAAAAGGGGACCAATATGATTGTGTCCTCCACAAAACATCTCAAAATGACATCACCAAAAACATGTGGAAGGCGAACAGGATTTTAAAAGCTTAAAATTTGACCAGAAATAGGGCAGTAAAGACTGTTGAAAAACTTTTCCATAGAAGGGAGATGAAGTGAAGGTAGAATCCAAAGGTAAAGAGGATTCAGGGGAAAAAAGGGTGGGATATTTTGAATGAGCACACGTAGTCAGTCCATCTGAAGCCACAGCAACCTGAGTTTCCATCTCATCAGAGATCAAGCAACCCAGAATCAAGAGCTATTGGCAACAACACCTGCCTGAGAACCTGGAAAGCTGAGCAAATACCCAGGCACTCCGCCTGTGCTGGACCCCTTTATGCACTTCCATTAATTGCAAGTAATTTCAAAATTAGCCTGAGAGGCTTCCTCTGCATTAGCAGTATTTTAATTATATATAAGGTTTTAGAAAGAAAGAATAAGAAAGCAAGGCCTAGGATATTAAAAGGGAAGGGAACTGCGTGATAGAAAAGGCTTGAACACCTTTGAGTCTGAAGGGGAAGGTGAGAAAGAAGAGGGAGATACACAAGAGCAGGTTAAAGCAGTTCAGG